AAAGAATATCATTAATTCAACGGTTGGAAAAACAAAATTTGTCGAACAGCAACATTACACAGATCTATTTGTCATCAGGATCACAGGTAGCAGTGAAAGAAAAGAAGCAGTACAAATGAAAGATTAAGCTACTAAAAAGAGATAATAAAATACGCAGGAAAACATACCTTGTCCCATTCAAGCCACTGACTGATCAGCTTGTCCAACTGATTTGCTACAGGTGCAGCCATATATCACCGTGCTTAAAGAAAATCTGAAACAATCCATATTAATTAATGATAAAGACTGATTAAATACGCGATATGTCGCGTAAGTGTATCAAGGTTAACTCCTTCGTGAATAAACAACTGAAAGAAGGTAGTGATGAAAGCGAAGAAATCTTCTGACAAGTAAAAGCCCTACGACGTTCGAAACTAAAGGACGTTACAACAGCTGCGAATCACAGAACCAACTGCGGAAGTCAACCCTGAAGAAGGACTGTGAGAGCGAACCGAAACGTCGGAACTGGTTAATAAACCGACTGATCAATTTCCTCATATTGTGTGTAAATAAACTATTTTTATTTACAGATTTGTCAGTTTCCAGTATGATCACCAACGCACGAACAGAATACTCAATCTTAAAATCAGCCAAATGTGTCTGTAAATTCAACGACTTCAACGACTGCAGCAATTCTAAGTCGAGTCATCTCGATTGCACAGCATAGCCAAAACATCGAAGTGAAAAGTAGTTTCAGACACCTTTATTTCAACACCTATTTCTTTTGGCCTACCGTCTTTGCCTGAGGTTAATTAAACATTTTCAGCAACAAGGAACAACATGCTAAAAGAACATGCTGGTTATTCATGCAGTTTCAAAAGTGACTCTCAATGCTGCACTGTTTTTTCTACTTTAATTTACTTTAGATGATAAAGGATAAGATGTTCGATAGCTCCAAAAAATAAGACTCCGCGGGACTCCTCCTCACTCCATCAGGATAATAGAAAAAACAGTCTTATCACTGAAGTGGTAAAAAAGCGGTATCTAAAGGCCTTCATTCACGAATAATTCAACAGAGTGGACTGGAAGTTAAATAGAATCCAAAGTTCAGAAAACTTCGGAGGCCGCCTTTCCTAGTTATCCAGTATCATAAGAACTTCAGTGAAAGAATGACATGTTTCATGACAATCACGTACTGGGTGACCATGGTTCACAGATCCTCAAAAAAACTTGCAGCTTTCCGTACAAGAAAGGTATACCAAAAAGGTAATGCTCGGATAGTCCATCAAGTAAACTGCTCGGGTGGAAATAGCTTCATGTGAGTAACTAATAGAAAACTGAAAAACCGGACCAGTCAGCACATGGTTTGTCTCAGCTGAACAGATGAGGAATCTGCCGTTGAGGAACAAAACATACTACAGAATCACAACATACAATCGGAAGCAAGGTAATCATCTTCATCTTCCATTGCCGCTTCTCTTTTCGGGTCGCGGAGGAAGACGCGTCAGACAGAGCTCCCAACATTCCCGATCCTGTGCCAGAGTCTGAGCTTCGGCAAAAGACAAATGGAATCTGGAACAGACTCCTTCCATATGTTTGCTCCAGGTTAATCTTGGCCGTCCCATGCGCCTTCTGCCGGTCGGATTTGCAAGGAACAACTGCTTAGCCTTCCATTCTGGAGGCATTCGTAACATAAAAGCTGCATCATCCGCAAGGAAATCAACTACAGGAAAAGAAAGATTCTGAAATCAGTAACAATGGAACCGACAAAAAGCAAAATTACTAGACAAGAAGAAAAAAGGAATCATTCCGTCAATTTTAACTCCTACAGGATTAAATTTTCAATGAATGTATTATACGTGAACTTGAGGTTATTGCTATACTGGTTAATTATACATTGGTTATTATAAACTCACCACCGTGCTCATGTAA